AAAATCACAAAAATGTATCTAAAAGACCCACAATCACATAAAAACACCTAGATATTTAACACACAGAACTGGAATAAACATAAACATATTTTAAGTAATAAGTTGGACGCAGTCCCTACTGTCTCTGATAGTGAAGCACTGTAGAACTTACATTGCACTGTATGCTTTTTTCTCAATGTTGCTTTACAAATATATTCTTTGTGATTTAAATAGCCGAATTTTATAACCGAGGATTTGGCTGACATCTTATCCCGTTTTCAGACAACCACTTGTGACTTTCAATCGAAGTGCTGCAGTCCGCGCGCAGGTGAAAGGTGGTGGGCGTGACAACGGTAAAAAAACATGCATTCACCAATGAGAAAGGTTATTGCTTGGATTTCAATCCAAGCATCCAATAAAAAGAAGGATCTTAAAGAAACTGATAATATTCTGATGATTAGCGTTATTTCCACAGTTGTGGTCTTGACCGGTCTTGGAAAAAAAAACAAAAACAAAAAAGAAATAAAATGCCGAGTCCTCAGCGCCCGAGACCAAGACAAGACCGAGACCAAATGCGGTCAAGTCCGAGACGAGACCGAGACCATCAAAAAATGGTCTCGAGACCAAGACCGATCTCGAGTACTACAACACTGCCCAAAAGTAATAATTGAATTTTTTATTGATCTCACATTGGAGAAATTTACTTCTGCATTTAACCCATCCATGCAGTGGGCTGCCATTGTGGGGTACAATTGGGGGTTAAAGGTCTTGCTCAGAGACCCAGAGTGGCAGTCTGTTGGAGTGGGTCTCAAACTTAATACCTCAGGATTCCAGGTTCTATGCCGCCACTCCCTCTTGAAAAAAAATGGGAAGAATAAAATCCCATAGAAAAGACACTAATGCATGCACACTTTTAGATTCAGTCCAGCACATAAAATCATTGTAGATGAGAGACAGGGGCAAAAAAATGAACTACTCATGAATAGAAAATGCTGCAATGTGGTCAAGAGATTAAGCAAAAAGTGATGAAAGCTGTAAAAATCAGTCTCTGCTTCTATCTCAAAATATAAAAAATTCACATACATTTTCTCATTTAATATCTATAATCAGACTTTTATTTTACAAGAATAAGCCTGAAAGATAAAAATGTGTGTTTTCTTGGTTGACAAGCCGCTGTCAGGGACATCTGTGGTGTTTTCTTTTCTTCCTCCTCTCCCAACTGCACTTGAGGATGTATTTAGTTTGTTTAAAGTGGGTTGAATGAGTTGCTCTTACAGCCACGCAGATTTCTAGTTTTTGGGAAGGATCTCATTTGGAGAAGCAGGCAAAGGAATCATCTACATTAAATGGTCAGTAGAAAAATAAGTTTATGTTTTGTTTGAACTGTTTTCAATGATCAAGTAAAAAAAGAGCAGTTTCCTCATCAGCAGATTCTATCATCTCTCATATTTAACCTTCTGACCTTACATTTGAAATCAAGACTTACATTTATTCTGCAAAGGCCTCATAGATTTATGCAAATAAACTAGTGTACAAACAATAATATAGACCAAAGAATGTCAAAAAGGTAGAGGGCAAAGAGTAATCATTTTAAATTGAGCTTAAGACATCTCATGTTGCACTAATCAAACTATCATCCAACATTGAAAGAGAAAAATGATCAAACCCAAGTGGGTAAAGAGAGCATTATTCAGAGAAGCAGCTAAGAGGACTGTGCCACACCTAAAAGACCCACAGAGATCCAAAAATTTGAAAACTGTTATTTACACAAACAGAAGGAACACTATAGACATTTAAAGCAAAAAAAACATAGAGCAAAATCATTTCTAGCTGTTAGATAAGCTGGAATATGAGCAAGTTCAAGGGGAATTTATTTGCAAGACACTGTCCACAACATAAACACTGCCTCATATTTATACTGTAATTAGAGCCTTTTTTCGCTACCAAGACTCCAGCTAGCTTTTAAATAAATGTTATTTTGGTGTTTGAACGATCATCTAACATGGAAGTCACAGTATACATAAGCACTGCAATCCATTGAGCTGCAACATCTATATATGTTACTTGATAGGAAGACACTCTTGAGCGCTTAGCCAACTGGACGACTTCTGCGATCAGACTATGGAAAAACTACACTTAAAGCATCATTATTGAATAAACTAAACTAAGATTTGGAAAGTAGTCGCATGCTAAGCTATAAAAAGAAAGTAATACGTTTTAAATACAAGATTTGAGTCTCTTCCATAATCCTATTTTTTCAGAAGTGTTTAGGCTCCCGTATTTAATTTATGATAGGCAGACTCTCTCAGGTAAACATAAATAGAACTCCTAGTATTGAGCTTTTGTTATCAGTGCAAACAAAATCTAGGTGTTTACTCCTATTCAGCTTCCAAGGTTGTTGAGGAAAGAAAAGTGGAACTAGATGGAGTTGAATCCATGTCATTCATGTTGATAAAGTTCACAGGTTTTATCATCCCATCCTGGATCGCCCTGCAAAAGACATATTTAAGATGTGTTAACATATTTAACCATTAAAACTGTCTCCAGAGTGTCCATTAAAAAAGTGTTAAAGGACCCCTATAAAAAGTTGATTGTTCTAAATAACTGCACTCCAAATTGCATCTGACAATTCACACCCTTATTAACTTCTGATAATGGACCCTTACATGGCACGATCCCTTTATAATACATTTTACTCACATCAAATAAAGACAAACATATGAAGCAAATAATACTTTTTCATACTTTTTCTAGTTGGTCACAAAGAGAAGATACAATCCCATCCTAATTACCAAATAAATATGCTCAGCAGTATCAGAACACTCATAAACCATGTTTTCACCTGTTTTTTTTTATTATTTACCATGAGAATTGTTAAACAGCTACACACAGGAACACTAACAGGGGGTCTTTGTTTAAGCTTTCTTCTTTCTGCTTGATTCACACTGTTCTGCAACTTTCCCTGAGTCCTTAGAGATCTGATGTTATAGGCAGATCTTTTGAAAAAAGAATAGAAACAGTAATAATTGTGAAACTAGGTCCACCCAGCAGGAGAAATTCCTAAGAGGATGACATATACGCAATGACATCATATTCCATCTTCGTTCCAACACCTTTCAAACAATGGGGCTCTACAGGACTGAAGCTATAAATGTGTCTATTGTTCCTTAGTGTGTGTCCTGATAGTACGAGTGAGTTGTCTAAAAAATTAGGAAAATATGAACACAGATGTTTTGTGAATTGGATGGAAATAATCTAAAAAGGTCAGTAAATACATGAATACCTCTTCATTTTAAACATCAAGATTATTAGGGAATGCTTTGGGTGAATTATTCATTTATGTAAAGAATTATATACTATACTAGGAAAAACAACAAGGACAGGTCCTAACTGGTAAGGTTGGTTTCTTGATCAGAAGGATGCTCACTTGGCCTGTTAAATTACTAAAAAGAAATATCTTAACTTTCTTGTCAAAACAGTCTCTAAAGTTACCACTGTAAAAATTGAGATCTGTTTTTTTCATTGTTACCCCCTTTTTTATATATTTTTTAACACAATAATGGCCTTGATTTTGCATTATGTTATAATTTATATATATGTTGTAATAACCATTATATTATTATATTGATGGGAAAGGGGGAAATAGAAGGATGCCAGGCCCAGGATTGAAATCAAACCTGTTTTTCGCTCCACACCATGAACCACACACAGAGGGCTATATTACTCTTGGTTTTAACAGGAGAATTGCTTGATCAAATGCAAAAAATTATGCATTTTTTCTGCATTGATGTGGAGTAAGTTTTCAATGTCACATACAGCAAAGAGTAGGTTGCAGGATTTCCCTTTTATTTTTGTATTGTATTTGTTTTTTAGAAATGGTTTTGCTCTTTACATATCATCGCTTGAATGATGCATCTATCTCTTTTATGAGCATATAACAGAAATTCAACCATGTCTTTCTCTTTCATACAATAAAAAATTTAGCATATGCAAATTTATAAAAGAAAATCTTATATTGGGCCAAAAGAGTATTTAGTGAAATACTGATTGTAAAACAGGTCAGCAATTTTTATCATAGCTACACTTTAAATATGAGAGACAAAATGAGAAAAATAAAATCCAGGAAATTACATTTTAGGATTTTTAAACAATGTATTTGTAAATTATGATGGGATTAGTATTTGTTCAACCACAATCAAGCAAGCTGTCTGCCCTCACAGACCTGTAACTTTGTCTTTAAGAAACTATTCTGTTCTTAACTTGTTACCTGTATTTACAGCACATGTGTTGAACTCTCTACATGGACACTTATCCACAGCTCTAACTGTCAGACTCCAAACTCAACCATGGCCAAAACCAAAGAGCTGTCGAAGGACACCTGGAAGATTGTTGACCTGCATCAGGCTGGGAAGAGTGAATCTACAATAGTTCATGAGGTTGGTGTGAATAAATTAACTTTGGATCAATTGGAAGAAAATGGAAGACATACTAGTCCATTGATAATCTCCCTTAATCTGGTGCCCCACGCAAGATCTGGTGGGGTCAGTGGGGTCAAAATGATCATGAGAACAGTGACCAAAAAGCCAAGAAATAAATGGAGGGACCTGAGGAATCTACAGCAGAGAGCTGGGACCACAGGCTACAATCAGAACACACTGCTGAGAGGGACTCCTATCTGCACCCCCGCCTGAAGTCAGTTCACGTCCAGGCCTCCATTTTGCCAGAGAGCAAATTAATGATCTAGATGAGGATTGGGAGGATATCATGTGGTCAGGAGAAACCAACATAGAACATTTTGCCACAAAAGAAAGTTGTCATGTATAGAGGGAGAAGAAAGTGCAGTTGCATCCCCCAAAAACACTGAAGCATGGGGGTGGAAGCATCATGCTTTGGGGCTGTTCTTTGTGAATCAAGGACAGTATGACTGATCCGTTTTAAGAGAATAATGTTTGGGGCTAAAGGACAATTTAGAGAAGCCAATCAACCTAACAGTCATGTTTTTGGACTGTGGGAGGAAGCCAGAGTACCCGGAGAGAACCCACACATGCTCAGGGAGAACAGGCAAACTCCATGCAGAAAGACCCCGGGCCAGGAATCGAATCCAGAACCTTCTTGCTGCAAGGCAGCAGTGCTACCCACTGCGCCACTGAGCAGCCCAATTGGAATTAAATCCAAGTGAACTCTATTTTCTAACTAGTTGGAGACAACTGGTTGCACAGAATTTTATTTAGAGGGGCAGAGCAAAGGGATTGAATACTATTTCTTTTTAAATGTCACAATTACAAACTTGTTTCTAGTCACAATTTGAAGAAATGGGGCAAGGTTTAAGTGGGAAGTTGAGTATATAACACTTCTGCAAAAGACGTTATTATATTGCAACTAGCATGGCTTTTTTTAATGCAGTTTACTCTTTTTTTATCAAGTTATTCTATCTATGTTTATTTTTTTTGTAGATATGAGCATTTTCCAAAATAAGAGGTCTGGGAAAAAATATTGTGGAGAATTTTCTATTATCAGGACACTGTCAGGTTATTTCACTGAGGTCATTTTGAACATGGCTGCTGAAAGACCTGATGACATTCCTTTAGTGCTGTGTCACATGGGTGGAGCAGACTGCTGTTATTAAGTTATCAGCCATTTTATCTGCCCTTCAGTCCCCTTCAATTGATCACAGCTGCAGTCCTGCAATAGGTAATGTTTGTAAAAAAAAAAAGAAAAAAAAAAAAGAAAGTCTTTGTTTTCCGATTCAGAATGTGTCTACGGAACATGCTTTCACCAAAAGAGCATTGCTTGCCAAACATCTGTGTGATTTAGCTGAGTTGCTTGGAGAAATGAACAAAACATAAATCATCTAAACTGAGTATGAAATTTCTTCAGTTATCTTTATCTTCATTTGCTCAAGAAGAATGAATATATGAGAAGAACATAATTAGTTAATCAGGAATAAAACGCAGGAGGTGAGGCAGTTTTATGCTTCTGTTCAAGCACATATAAAGCTGGCTTCCTTACATGAATATATAGATAGAGTATTTCTAACAATTAACAAGACGAGTTTGAGTATGAATGTGCTCTTTAATAAACAAACAAACTTTCAAGAACGAGCAAGAACTTTCTTTCTTGCTTTCTTTCAGTCTTCCACAGCTTTTTCTCCGACCTTCTCAAACATCCAGTTGCTGCAGAAGTTGGAAACTTGTATCATACCACTCTGCTTGTTGCTGTCAGGCAGAGACACAAGAGCATTAATGCAACACTTCCACTCAGCAGTAGAAGGATTTTCGCAACAGTGAATATCACAATCTCACAACATCATCTGAGGAAGAGAGGAACTGGCTGAGCTCATAAACTGCCTGTGCTTCTTAGCCAACTGACACTGACTGTCACAAATGGCGGACCAAGCTGAACTGAAACAGTGTGTTTTCAGCACTGTCAACACTATGCAGAAACATACTGGCAGCATTTTTCAAGAAATGTGATGGATTTTTTTTCCTACAAAATGTTTTCTTAATTCAGCAGAAATGTCATCAATCTATACACAATTGTCCATAAAAGCAAAGGAGATTGACACTTTAGAAGTATTTTGTATGTAATATATGAAAACATAAACATATGTGAAAATACATTTTAGTTTATATCTCAAATCCTTTCTCTTCCTGACATGTGAAGATTTGAGGGGATAGAGTCAATTAAACGCATCTGGATCATGAGTGAACTATTAAGCCAAAGTTAATAACAACAAAAAAACAAGCTTTAATACATTTTCAAAGCTAAAAAAAGAGGTAAAAGTTTGAATCTTTTATATAAAGTCCACAAAAAAGAAAGGAGTATGCATGTAGGCTAAAATATATACATACACCCACTGATATCACTATCTCCCTTAACATTATGAGGACAGTCGAACACTATTTGATGCTCCTACAAAGATTTTTGGGATGAAACTGCCCGGATATTTAAACAATACTCTGATATCAAACTTTGGGATTAATCTAAATCAGATTGGCTTCATTTCAACTGGTCTCAATATTTCACCCATCAAGGTGATCGATTTTGGTGAACGTTAAAGCACCTGAAGGAAGTCCTTCCTCCTCAGTACTCCATCCACTTTGTGCAATGCACCAGTGCATGAAACAGACTGTCAGAATGAGGCTACCATCACCATGTTTGACAGATGGCACACAGTTCTCAGGTTTAATGGCCTCACTTTCAAATATACAGACACAACTGCGGCCAGATCACTCGATCTTTGTCTTTTCAGTTTGTAAAATTTCTTTTATTTGGGGATTTTATCTATGAGGCGTAGAATCTAAGCAAAGCCTGCGATAAATATATTAATTTAGGAGCAGCAGATTCCCTTTTTTTCTTGCCACAATAATGTCCTTAAATTGATCAGAAACTAATATCAAGACAGAATTTAAAATGGATATATCGGACTAATATTAAACTTCTAAACCCCCCTGACTGTAACTCTACTGTTAATGTAGAGCTTAAAAGCTGTATCATTGCTACTTTTGGCTTTAACTATATGCTTTAAACTTGATTCAAAATATTTGATTTTAAGCCCTTTATGGACTGGAGAAAATTTACAATGAAATTAAACTTAAACTTCTAGTTTTTCTTTTATTTCATTTAACTTGTTTTATGTTTATACCTGCAATTAAAATTAAATAATTACACTATAAATATAAAAAATTTATATTAATTCTAGATTTGCCATTATGGAGAATTTTGTATAAACCGATGCAAAAACAATGAGGTATTTAAGGTTTAAACACACAATATAAACCTTGCTTTAGGAAAGGGAAGAAAGGGAAACAATTGTATACAAAAAAAGAGCAAGGAGGTATAACTGTTTGCTTTCTTAACCAGAATGCAGAAACCTACACTTGTGGTTCCAGACTTTTGAGGAAGTTGTCAATTTGTTGTGGTGATAAGTCTCCCTCTAGTCGAGCCAGGAAGGTGTAGATCTGGACGAAGGTTTCAAACGGGATCCTGGCAGGGCCACCCTCCTCATCATTTGTCAGGATCTCACAAGCGTACTTCAGAGAGCTTTCAAGAGTCTAGAAAATACAAAACAAAAAAAGACACTCAAAACTAATATGTGTTTAGGATTGAAAAGCAATCAAATGATGCATGTTATAGAAATGCAAAAACAAAATCACTTTGTTTATAAGAGCTCAATGAAAGGTGAGCCATACAATGAAATGAACGTAGTTCAAGACTGCCCTCATGTGGTTTAAGTGCTCAAAAGCCTTAAACATGTCTTTAATTAAAGTCAAGACAAAGACATATTCTATCTTTTTATTTTTTCAAATAAGAAATCTGTTTCAGATATTTTTTGTTGGTTAAGAAATCACTACAGAATGATATTGTTAGAGACAGGTTTGGATACTTAGAGATCAACAAACCTGGCATCCTGCAAGCTTCACCTGTTGTGCTTACCCTTAACTGGAAGTGGTATGAAGCAGTATTAGAATTTAGATCTCACCTCTCCCAGGGCAGTACAGCCCAGGGCAAAAAACTCAATCCAGGAGAATTCTGAAGAAAAGCAGCCCAATGACAGCAGGGTCTTCAGCTGTTCCATGGGAAGACCGAGGTCCTTCCACTTCATCTGCAGCTCCTCTCTGCTGCACATTGGCCTTGAAGACATCTATGATTAGATAAGAAAAGTAAAGGATGAAAAAATGAAGGATAAACACTAGGAATTTACTTATATACTTATTGTAATATCCCAAACAATGACCCAGTTCTGTCTTTAACAGCTCTAAAAATAAATCAATTCTCAACAGATATAAATAAGAATTTCAATTAATGTTAATAGCTACAGTTTAAATGAAAAATCCACCTCCCCAAGATTCTAGTAAATATAGGTGAAATATGGCAAGCTTTTTCTTATTGAAAGCAAACTCTGAATCACAATGGAAAATGTATAGGGAAATGTTTTCAGAGTATGAGGCTGCTTAAGGCCCCATATAACCTGACAACCCTACGAGCAAATCTACAAACTGGAAAAATAAACTATTCAAATTGACCGTTTCATAACCAAAAGCATATTTTAATGCAACAAAAATAATTCTTACTGATTTACCTAATTACCCAATAGCTTTTACTTTTATATGTTGGATGTGAACTTGGTGTTAAACTGTGCCTGTGCTGAAGCTGCTTCTTTAGACACAACTGTTCGAGTAAGATCTAAGCTTTTTGTCATGTAAAACAAAAAAAACAGGAATAATTTTGCACTGTTTCAGCTGTTTCTAGAACATCTTAAAGTGATCTATAGATCAGAGTAGATTTGCTTAAAAGCCAAAATAAATACAGTTAATAAAATGTCAGCATTGTATTGGACAATTTCACACACAAATTGGGAAGGAACTGGTGAGATAAGGTTAATCGTATGTAATTAATTAGAAATAGGCATACAGTTAACTCAAGAAGAAATGCAAAAAGGGAAAAACAAATGTGCATTGTGTGGATGATGGTTTTTAATGGAAACAGGTTCTTACATTCAAATTGTACTTATCGTCCTCATACAACCTCAGTGTGGCTGTAATAAATAAACTTGAATCATTTCAATAATAGATTTGTTAAAATTGTTCTTACCTGCTTATGGAGGATTTTCAGTAGACCTGGAGTCAACCCAGTGCCAACATTCCTCTCCAGCCTCTCCTTTACTGGTAGACACTCTCCTTTGGCCAGTGCATGGAAGTATCTTGGGTTGGACACAATCATGTCATTACTATACGTGTTATTAATATAGACTGTAAGATTGTAAGGCTGTGCATTTTCTCCTCGGTCCGCTTAATAACATGCATAATATTAGCTGAATTAATAGATAATGTATGTTGCTATATCTGCAATGAGAGGTATTGTATTCTTGTTTTTTCAACTTATATCAACAATATTTTGATGAGAATCGATACTCAGGATGACTTTCAGTGTCCCTGTAGGACAGCAGAGTCTTGTTTTACCTCTTTCTTTTATCCACAAAGGAAATTTTAATTGCACTCTCCTCTTTTTCTCTACAGGTTAACACAACAGAGGACGTGCCAATCCTTGGGGTTGAAGAAAACACATCCCGAATGCTTGATTTTCATATCCAACATATTTGTTCTTTTGTAAAGGGAAGTCAGTAAGTTTAAACACAGCAATTGCACGAAAGCCTCTGGGAGCTAATTACAGCCTTTCAATGCTCAGAAAAAGCACATGCACAGGTGAGACGAGGCTGTGATGTTGCCTGGAGACAGTTTTTATGCAATTGTTTGACAGATACATATTAGAGTGAACCGCAGCAAAGTCACACTTGTCTAACCTTGACCTGAACCAACGCTGATAAATGTTGACACTTACGCTGCAGACCATTGCAGCAGATCGTTCGGCTGTGTTCGGATGGCTGCCTTTGTGAAGCTTTTGAGGATGTCTGGCAGCTGGGGAGGGATTTTGATTTGCTGGGCACAGTACAAAGTATCCGGAAGTGGCATGACTGTAATACAAGACAATATAGCCTTCCTTATTCCTACAACAAAGTCAAATCAATTTCAGCCAATTCCCCTGAGGATTGACTCTATAGTGGAACTTATGAGTAATATAATCTTATCTTGAGACATACTGTAAGGATGTGCTAAAAGAGCAGTTATCAGAAGACCAACTCCAAGGAGCCGCTCAGATCCACAGCCGATGTGAGAAAATCTGTTGCAAGGCAAAAAAAAAAAAAAAAAAAAAAGTCGTTACCAATCTGATTGATGCTTAGCTAGTTTAAAAAAAAGAATTGACTACATTTTAAGTGTGCAAAGCTTTTGCAGTTGTAGAGGACTAGCCTCTGCAACAGCAGCTAGAGGTGGTTCTAGAAAGTAAACTCGGGGTATCTGAAAACAATTCTGTACACATTTATCCCAAAAAAATTAAAAAAAAATCCACTGGACTTTGTTTCCAAGTTTGAAGACGTTTCGCTTCCCATCCAGGAAGCTTTTGAATGGAAAAATCTTCCTGTGGTTCCCAACCGTTTTTGACTTGTGTACCCCCTTGGCCATTTTATTGTACATAGTTGGTCAAACATGTCATTTTCCAAAAATAGAAAGTTTAACTGATTATAAAATGAAAAATATTTAATTTCCGTAACTTTAACAATTAATACTCAGACATTTCATTCTTTTCAGTTAAAATAAAAAAACATGAATGTGTTACCTAAAGAGTGACTGAAAGTACTAAAATAAATACAAAATCAAATTAAGTTACAAATCTACAGCTTTTAAAAAAAAAATTAGAGCTTTTCTGAACAAGTCCCCTATATACACATCTAAACTTGACAAATCAGGAAATAACTAAATAATGTTTGGATTCACATATCTTTTTTTTTTTTTTATATTATTTGTTTTCATCATTGACTGTGTTAATGAAACACCTGATCTTCTCCTGACTCCCCAGCACTGGGACGTTGTTTATCGTCCTTGGTGAAAATTTTTATAGATTTCTATTTTTTTAATCATCAAAATAGGAAAAAAAAAATGAAATTTTGATTTTTTTTTTTAATCAATAAAAGTTTTTTGGTTGATTAGGTCTTTGCTTTATTTCAAATTTTGGGTCCTTACAGAGCAAAACTACGGAAGAGGATTAGGGCCACTGAAAAAATTTTAAAATTTAAAAATTTTTACATTTTATTTCAGTATAATGAGAAAAAAGTCAGAATTCTGATTTTAATCTCAAAATTCTGACAGCAAACCAACATGTTAGCATCAAGCCATGTCTGTTTTAGAGACTAAACTAGCTTCTTGTTTTAATCACCTTCTGCTCTTCCATTAATGAAATAGCATCACTAGGGATCCCTCTTGCACATAAAAAGATGTCTAATTCCGTCATTTACCACCAATGTGTTACTGACCCTCCCAAACAACCCACATTTTTGTCAGTGAAGCTGAGTGCTCCCACATCTCTTCCTTCATGGTGCCCATCTACATTAAGATCCAAAGTTCTGAGATTTAAGTCAGAATTCTGAGAAAAAAGTCTGAATTTTAAATAAACAATATATTTAAAAATCAGTAAAAAAAAAAATTGCTTGTTTGTTTTTCAGTGGCCCTAATCCTCTCCCGTGCAAAACCCATCTCAGCCCTATTTAATTGTATTTCTTTATCTGGGAAGTAAGATATTAAATGTTTTCAAATACCCCCTGCAATGCACTGGCGGACCACCAGGAGCACTAGCACCCCTGGTTGGGAATCACTGCTGCAGGGGAACAACCAAAAGCAACAAATTGAAAATGAAATGTCCAAATATAGTAATCTGTTTGTATTATAAACACAAAGATAATATAAAAGTTGAATTACAATAGTGTCTGATGTCCATGTCAACCGTTACATTTACAGTGTTCATGTTTTCCTCTCGAATTATTCGGATACATCTTTTGTTTGTGTTTTTTTTTGTGTGTGAAAATACCTGCATCTGGTTGAAAAAAAAAACCCAAAAAACACCAGGTTCAGTTAAAAATATATATATATATATACATTTCAGATTTCTGATAAATTATTTGTTCAATTTCCGCTTTCTAAGTCTTTTACAGGTTGCATCATTTCAACACAAGGAAAAGTCTTTCCAGCTGTTTAAAATGACGGAAATGGTTTACTTACATGAGCCGAAGGATGAAGAATGTGGGCTAAATTATTATTTTAGAGGATATTTCTGGATCACGGGCGGTTTGGCGAACTGAAAAATAACGGCTGTTACTAACGGACTTCAGTATTGTAGCGTTATCGTCGCTTAGCAACAGCATTCTTCTTCTTCTGCCATGGCGCCCTTTCCTTTTCATAAGATGCGTTTACTGTTTACCAAAACGTACTGAAAAATAATTTTGGATTCGAGTTAGGAAATCTATAAAGACAAAGGAGATTTTATTCATTTTCTATTCTCCCTTTTCTTTTCAATACGCCTTTTTAGATCAAGTTTGATCTAAAATTATACCTATTAAATTAAACCTCTACAATTCAAGGAGTGGAAAATCCACAAAAAACTAATCTTGTAAAGCAATAACAATTTAACATAGCCCTATTATTAAGGATAAAATCTGTAAACTATCTGACATATCTTTGCATGCATTTTTCCCACTCTGTGGTAGCGCGCATATAATGAAATGATTGCAATTATTTGGGGATTGGCGGCCTAGTGATTACAGCATACAGTTTGGAAACCTGAGGTTGTGAGTTCGAAGACCACTGGGGCTCTCTGAGCAACACCCTTGACCCCCAAACTGCTCCCTGGGTGCCACAAAAGGCAGCCCACTGCTCCCCAAGGGGATGGGTTAAATGCAGAAAGTCACATTCAATGCGCTGTACTTATGAAAAGTGGAATGACAATAAAAAAAACATACAGGCAAAAGATTTTATTATTAAACAGCATCTCAAAAATACAGATCTCCACAAACCAAATAATAATAAAAAAAAAAAAACAGGAGTACAACTACAATTATTTGGTAATAACCAACATGAACAAAAGAAAGCGAGGCATAGGTCTTCACCAAACACTTAACAGACACATGATAGTTGTGTGACAAACGGATTCACACAATCACTGTCAGATCACATACACTGGATAGTGCAAATGTGTTCTAGCACATTTATAAACTGAGCAAACAGAATATGCTTCAGGAAGTGTCAGACTATGTTTCCATTTCATACACCCATGGAGAACAAAGGGCATTGGATTTTTCCCAGCGTTACAATTCGTTGAACAAGCGTAAGGAAATTGTCAACAAGAAATCGCACAATTAGAATGGATCTTATCACAGGTTACGTAGACATGACAGGAAAACCCAAAAGATGTTCGTGCTCCTAAACTTTTTTTTTTTTTTCCTGAAAGTTAGCTTCTTTTACCTGATACAAAAATAAAACGGTATCCCCTTAAAGACACCTTGGAAAGTCTGGGACTAAACTATGATTGAATACTCTGACAGGAAACAGGCTTTACTGTCCCAAACTATTATCATAAACTCCTTTCCCTTCATCCCTCTTTTTAAATTCATCTTTGGACGCAACTTGAGCAAAGTTTTTTTTCACTGCAGCTCTATAAGAGGTTTTGATGCAACAAAATATAGTTAACCACAAAACACAGGTTTATCTAACATAATATTTAGACAGAAACTGAGCAATTTGTTGTCAAACCAACTGTTCTGGCCTTAGCATCGAGACACCATAGCGAGACAAACGGTTAGACACAATTCTAAAGAGCTAATTTGTGTCTTAAATGACATTATCTTACCATCTGAGAGGACTGAAGTGATTGGCTGCCCCTGCTTAAAGCAGACACAGCAGAAAAAAAAAAAAAAAACAAAATAGGACAAATATTGGATTGTCCAATTTCAGGTTAAAGTAAGAAATCAAAATAATATGTTACGTGATGGAACCGCCTCCGTCTTTTTTATACTTAAACACTCTAGCACAGGCTTTCCTTGCTACAAGCCACGAGTCGGTCAGATGCTCAGTACTATTCTTGTCTAAATCTCTTTCTATCTCTTTCCCCTTTTATTGCCAGCAGGAGGCTTCTTTAGCTGGAGAAGGGGTGTGCCAAAGGTGGTGGCTGACGGGTTTGAAACGCCAAACGTCAGGCCAGCGGACTGGTTGATGCCAGGGTTGCTGAAGTTGAAGCCAGAGCTGCTGGTGCTACCAAAACCTAGGAAAGCAAGAGAATGCATACAAAACTCAGACAAAAGCTTAAAAAAAAGAGGATTTAAATCACCATTTCAAGGGATCAAATGGTATAATGAAAGGACAAATTTTGATAACTGTTCTTCCAACTTATTTATTTTTTTAAACTTTGGAATCTAAACCTGTGAAACCCATCTCCGTTCTATGTTGCTCAGATATAGAATGTGACAAAAAAACTAAACAAGAGGTGCTTTATCAGACACTGTCTTTTATTTTGTTTTAGTTATGCCTTCTGCCTCCTTCAATATACCTGCACTCAGACTGCCCCCTGCAGGCTTACTGGTAGAGGAGAACCCAAAAGATGACCCTCCAGTTCCGATGCCACCAAATCCTGGCCCTCCACCAAAACCTGTGGTGGAAAAAAACAGAAACAAAACAGACAAGTTAGACCAACTGAGCTAGATGTGCAAACTACACAAGGAGCGTTGTCCCAGGTGTGCACACAGACACGCATAAGCAAGCGTATGTGAAAATAAAATGAAATACCTCAGCTGTATCATTAAGCTTAATGCACATCTCAGCATTTCACTACAGATTACAGAGCATTATGCTGCAGTGGACAGCAAACCAAAGACAAAATGGAGATAAATGGCAAGTTTTCACAAAACACACTAATTAAAAGGCAAGACACCACCATTGTGCGCTCAAACCACTCTCTGATTGATTTGTCTTTAATTTGTAAACTTTTTTGATGATTTCCATCTTCAGAATGATGAATTAGTGCAGAAAAACCTCCCAGCAGTTTCTAATTTGAAATATGCCCTGGCAAAAACAAGAGTCTTGGTGTGAACGCACATTTCCACTGAGGGGAAGAAAAAGGAGGGGGGTCTGGGCCTTAATAAGTCATGCCCTCTCTCTCCATCTTACACAAAATTTTAATTAAATAACAGACAAATACTATCTAGCATTAGGTAAATTAAACATTGCAAGATTAAAAGGAAGATAAGGGGGAGTATATTGTTCTGAAAACAGGCAGAGGAGGTACCTCCAAGTGTA